CGGAGTAATATTTTACTCCGGAGCAACACGTTTATATCGATATATGTATAAATAGATGCAGACACGCACGCACACACGCACACACGCATACTCCGACTGTTATGTATATGCATATACGATATATATATATATATATATCTTTACATCATGCATGTGAGGATACACGATACGGGCAACCACGACAAATATACTTACTTGCTACAAATACACTTACTCCGGAGTAAAAATTTTACTCCAAAACGGAGTTATAGTTACTCCGGAGTAATATCTTACTCCAAAAATACTTACTCCGGAGTAATATTTTACTCCGGAGCAACACGATTATATCGATATATGTATATCGATAAATGTATATATGCACATACACACGCATACCCATACATACTCGATCTTCGCTCGCTGTCGACAGACTTGGACTTGGACGCAGGTTTGTCTCCGCAAGTGGGACTGGTTTCTCGCCGGTTTCTGTTGCCACTTTATACAATTTTCTGACCAACACCCACAGACCGTCCACCAATCGCCGTGAAGTACGTCACCTACTTCACATGTAAAGTACATGCAGACCAATCGACTACTCCGGATCCTCAGAGCAAGTCACCAACGCTTGCCATGCGGCCAATCAGCTACTACAGACGTTGACTTTAACCACGCCCCCACTTCATGATGCAATCCCGACGGTCCCGCTGTCATGTTGAATAGCTTACTGTCAAAGTAACAATGTCGGTAGGCGTGGTATCATCCTTCAAAAATCGTTGCCTTGACGACAGGTTTCCCAGGTTACCGGGGTCAAAAGTGCACACTGACCTTTATCTGACCCGCAATTTAGCTCATTAGCTAAGATTTGCATACATTCGTCTACATTTGCATACATCTGCATATCCTTAGCATAATGACGGTGACCTCTGACCCGCACCGCCTCGCACCGCCTGCGCCGCCTGAATAAATAATAGCAGCGTGTCGACTATAAACTACTTACATGTGACTCTCCCGTCACACGACACGTCAATTTCCTAGTAATTTCCTCCAAGCAGGTAGAGATTTCTGTTGTAAGAAGGGAAGAGGTAGGATGGAATTTTCATGACTTGTTTATTGAGGAATGGTTGGATATGTCTCTTAACGCTGACTTCAAAGAAATAAACAAAAAAAGACCAGACGACCCAGATCACATCACGCCATTGAACATAGAAGTACATCTATCATCATCACCATCCACTGTATTCTGCGTCTACAGTCATATGGAAATGTCCTGTAGCCGCATTCAGTCTTTGTTCATCTTTTTCCACCGTGTATCTATACATCCATATATACCAATAAATATATAATACCCGACACACCGTTGCCATGGCAATACATGTACATGTCCATTATCTTGCCGTTGAAGAGGTTCATCAGTCACGTACGATTAACAGTTAGTAGAACATTCGTCAATGTGACAATCAGTGACTGTTTTGAAAGTAGAAACACCTAACTCCAAATTTTCGATGTCAACTGTACATCTTGATCACCATCTTGGTTTCCATTGCCGTAGGTGCTCATGTTTCAGCCAAATAACCTGAAAGTGGCTTAAGTGGGCAAATAGACTTTTTTTTTCTTTTAGCTGGGCCTTTGTCATTATTTCATTTTGTCTTTTTGGGGGCCATTTTTTTGTGAAATGAAATTAAATTTCGATATGGTATATACCCATAACATATACTCAAAAAATACTACTTCGTCTTTACCCTGGCATGACCTCAACTTTAGTCTAGAACACGTGTTGAAATGCCCCACACCCAAAAAATTCACCAATATCTTACATTTATTTTATTACGTTTGGGTTTACTTTTCTGTTTGTTTTCAGCTGCTGGAGCGACAGTGCCCACCCGGAATACCAATGGTTTTACAGAGGACCGATATCAGTCACAATCGTGGTAAGGCTGGCCTGAATATTTAGGTAACGTGCACTAGAGCCCCCCCCCCCCACACACACACAAAAAAAAAATTATAAAACATGTTCAATCAACCAATCAATCATCCGCAAGCATCAGGTTGCATGCACAGGTTGCACCGCCAGGTTCTTATGTCTTCGGCACAGACCCTCCAGTCCGCTCTGGTGACACCCAGCTCCTGAAGCGTGTGGCAGACCTGGTCTTCGCATCTTCCTCTTGGGCAACCCCCAATCGATTTCTACCAGAAAAATCACTTGTTAAAGGCGTAGAGTAATAATCCTCTCTACTAGTAGCGGTAGCTGACCAGTAGGATAACGAGGATCCTTCACACTGTCAAAGGCACTCCCCTTACAACCCTCAACTGCTGCCTTCTTGTTTGTTTTTCCCCTCCATGAAAAAAGGGAGACTGGAGTAGCCTCTCTAGAGTGTTAGTCTGGGCAGGTGTATGGAGGCCCTGCGCTGCCCGAACAACAGGAACTTCTTTTGGCAGCTCCGACGTGGTCCAGAGGAACGCGAGACGTGACACCTGGCGGCGAAGAATGCCAAGGTTTTGCAGTCATCCGCCTCACGTCCTCCACTCTGGATGTTCTGTCTGGGTTTACTCTCATAGCCTTTCCCAGGGTTAGATATAGCCGCAAGGCAGCAGAGATTCGTAATCAGGGAGGTTATCCCCTAGACGAACTGCCTTCCAAGGCTGACGAACTCCGTCTCCTCGTGCCATTACTTATAGCTGGGGGCCTGGGTCACGGGCACCAGGGCGTTTCCACACGCCGGTGGGCAATGCGTGGCGCGCGTCTGGGTGCCGTTGGATGAATTGGACCAATCATCCTTACCCCTTACCCATTTTCCCCATTATAGATAGATGTAATATGACATTTCTCCTAATGTTTCTTCTTCTCCTTCTCCCGCTGTTACGTTCATGTGATTCAACTTCGTTTCTTTACTTTTTTTGCTTCAGAATTGTTTCCTAGAAGAGACGGTTACTACAGTTGGATGATGGAAGAGTCTTTTTATTCAGTTTTGGTATAGATTTTAAAATTTGTGTGGGTGTTTTGAGCTACCTCATTTTTTATGGTAAGAGCCTAATCTAAAATGGAGGAAAGGGTCTTTTGAATCGTTGGGAAGGCCCCATTTATGCCATTGGTCAATTTTGTATGAGCATGTTGTGTTTGCTTGCTGGCAGATATCAGCCTGTTCTAGTTCAATTATCATTGACATTTTGCATATGCTACTCAAGTATCAGTTACTCGAGCTGTTAAACGTGTACATTCTCTTAGCATCAACATTGTCTTGACTTTGCCTTACTTTGCTTTACCTTACTGTTTCCTTACTTTTGCTCTATCTTAAATGTGTCTTTACCTTATTTACATATCGCTTCATTGTTCCTGGATAGATAAATATCTATTGAATACAGATCTCATTCAGTCACCGACGGAAGGTATTGGGTGCTTCCTAAAACGCATGACTGTTCTTAAATTTTGTGTGGATACGTAAGTAACTGTTAAATTATCATATCATTACCTGTCATTTACATCATGTCTAACCTTCATTGCTGATGGTACAAGGATGTATAATCTGTAATTTTTAGGTGAACTTCCTCCTGTTTATCAACATCATCCGAGTCCTGGCGGAAAAGCTGCGAGGTGCAGCCACGGCAGGCTCCCACGACAGGTGCAGTGTTACTTCTGTATCCGTCCGTCGTTACACACACGTGTGGAATAGCTTATATCGCATGGGTGGGAGGTTTACCACATGGCCGTATTTCCCACACTTGAAAATAGCAACCGAATGATTCTAACATCTTTATGCAGGGTTGCACAGAACAAGCGGTCAAGGTCCTTTTCACACAAGAATGGAATTGTCCGGATCAAGCCGAATAGATTCGCTTTGATCTGGATTCAACCCGTAGGTAGACCAGACTGTAAAGCCTCGGTTACAAGCCACCGTACGTGCTTTTTGTCCGTACGTTTTTTGGGAGGCTACGTCTGCTACGTTTTTTTTTTCTGAAAACGTGGGGAAGGAGTGGCGTCGACGCACGTCACTCGCACGTCACTTGCACGGTTGCGCAAGGTGTAAGAGTGGGGTCTGCACGCCACGTCTGGCTGTGAGAGGTTGCGTGCATCGTACGTTGCGCAAGTGGTAAGTGAGTTGTACGTGCTTACAACGTACGATCTCTGTGCGATTGCAACTTTACCGTAAGAAGGCCGTACTCACACGTGCTTCTTCCGCACGGCACGTACGGGGCACGCGCGTCGCACGTACTCGCACGTACGTATACGGGTGGTGAATCCACAGACCGCAAGTAGAAAAAGTTTTACATGCACTTTAAGTTCTACGGCGTGTCTGCGTGCTCCAAAATCTGTAGGATTCCGTACAGAGGTGGTACTCACCACGCACGGATGCTCTACGTTTGCCCACGTTTTTGCACGTAGACAGCAGAAGCACGTACGGCGGGTTGTGACCGAGGCTTAAGCCAAATGTCACGGGATGTATCATGGGGTTAGCTTTTTGAACAAGAGTTTGGGAAAGATCAACTTCAAAGAGTCCACTTTTAATCGGCGTGTGTATGGTCCATTCATGGAGTGAGGCGATGTTGGGATATTTCTTTTATTAGCAGACTTTGGGATGATCAATTTCTGCCAAAAAAAGGTAATTCCATATGGAAAGCGTTTTGCGATCCTTCGTATGCTGTATACTTGCAAATGTCGGACTCTCTATAGCTAGAAGAGCCCATACAATAGGTATGGCTAAATTGTTATCACCTCCGAGGAAAAAGACGGTCATGTTGATAGTCATTGGTTGTGTGTTTGCATCAGTAACTCTCGGTTGAGATTTGGTTATCTATTCCATTTTAGTACTAAAAATTATTGCCATTAAAAATGCGTTAACGTGCTGACTACATTTACATGGGGCAGCTATTGGTAGAATGTAAGTCAGAGTTAAATTCTTCTCGAGTCCCGGACGGGCCAAAAAATAGCCCGGTAGCCGCGGGCTGTCCCACAGGACCATGTTGGGGTCACGCCCGAAAGTGACAAAAAAAAGCCCGGGAACTACCCGCCAGGGCCCCTTTTTCCAATTAGGACCGAAACTTTAGCAGTACTGTGTACAACCAACCAGTATTGTCCTTTATGCTGAGGTCACATTTCCAAACCGGGGCCCGGCCGGGCAGCTTTTGGGAACGAAAAGTACGGTATAACAGACAACAAAACACAGCAACGTTTTTTCATGATAATCATGGACACTATATCTATATACTCCTGATATGGATTGTTAATTTTCCTTTCATACAGACAGCCCGGCCGGGCCCCGGTTTGGAAATGTGACCTAAGCATTATTATGGGAAGTGACTTTTTACCCACCTCGTGAAACTATTCACTGACCATGTGTTTCCTTTTGTTTGAGATGTTTGTTAGTTTGACAGACATGTTCCTTTGGCATTCTAGTGGCGGCTTCCGTTGTTGCCACTGGCCGGACGGAATAAGCTGGTAAGTTTCTCATCTATCTTCATGAAGGACTTTCATTTACATGGGGCATCATCTATCTTCATGAAGGACACACAGGTGCTTTGACCTGTCTGAACACAAACTTACGTACACTCCAACACATAATATAAAGACACGCACTATTTATTATTAGACAGTTCCAGGGGAGGGGTATGTCTAACAATGGTATCCACCTTTTTGCCAATCTGAAACAATGTAAGTAGACATTATTGACCTATATGTCATTGGCAACATACAAAGTCACAAACCAAAATTAGTTTTAAAGATTCTCAATCAACAACATTTTACATTCCAGAACTATATACGCCCGATGTTTCCTAGAGCATCGCGCGAACTTTCGGGATCGCCGGTGACTAGTCGGTGGCGATTTTCGAGGTCGCAGAGCTCTTTTCCACCGTTTTACGGCCATTCGACGTCAGGCCGACGATTCCTGACCGTTCTATGCCTTCAATCGGACTATGGTCACTCGATCCTCGCGCGAGCTTCGCACAATATTCTGACGATCCCTTTCCATATCTCCCCTCACTTGTTAAAGTCGTGCGTGCGTCGAGCGAGCTTGGTGCCTGTATCAAAGGAGAGGTCGCTCTCTAAGTTTAGTTTTCTAGTTGTTAGTTCTCGATAAAACTTGGCGCGCGTGGGTGCATAATATCGAGTCACTGTGGCCCAACAAACAATTTCATTGCCATTGAGAATCCACCATGAGGCACGGTTATCCACCATGAGGCACGGTTATCCACCATGAGGCACGGTTATCCACCATGAGGCACGGTTATACACCATGAGGCACGGTTATCCACCATGAGGCACGGTTATCCACCATGAGACCCGGTTATCCACCATGAGGCGACGGTTATCCACCATATGACACGGTTATACACCATGAGGCACGGTTATCCACCATGAGGCACGGTTATCCACCATGAGGCACGGTTATCCACCATGAGACACGGTTATCCACCATGAGGCACGGTTATCCACCATGAGGCACGGTTATCCACCATGAGGCACGGTTATCCACCATGAGGCACGGTTATCCACCATGAGACACGGTTATACACCATAAGACACGGTTATCCACCATGAGGCACGGTTATCCACCATGAGGCATGGTTCTTGATCGCCCTGACGAGACCGTGTCTAAAGCAAATCTACGTTCTTGGATTTATCCAGGGATTATCGAGAACCATGCCTCAGGTCCCGCACAGTATTGGACACACAAGGGCATTTTCCCTTTCCGTGCTTGGGGACTGAGCACAGTTTTGGACATACACGGCCTTGCCCCTTTCCGTGCTTGGTGCGTGAATAACCATGATTTACAGCACTTTCGGGCACAGTTCTGGACAGTGACAGGCTGTGCCCCGTTCAGTACCCGCTCAGTGAGTTTCGGCAGACTCTCTTTTAGTTAAAAATGTGGTCATTATGTTAACCAGGACGTAGTGTATTTTGAGTAGTGTGGTAGTATTTGAGTTGGGTCTATTAAAGAATTCCTGTTTGTATTTCCATTATCTTCTGCTAGTCCGCTCCATTACTTTGCTAAGAACATTAGAAAGTTAAAAGATTTGCTTTTTAGATGGATAGTCTGTCTTACTTCGTCCGCGTGCAAAGGGCAACGCGCGATTTTCAAGCCCAAACAAAGCCCGATTCTCGGTCAATCTCAAAATCGGACGACCTTTCGCTGATCAACAAATACTGCCGAAGCTCGTGGATAAGATGACACAGGTTTGAGCAACAGAATCGCCAATTATACCTATAGAGATGGTGTGATCAGAGTCCCTACCCGTTGATACTCTGATCGTGATCTCTACCGGTAGTCTAGCTGATTTTAATAAGAAAATCCGATCGGGATCTCTACTGAAAGAAATACCAACTCTACCAGATCCCGATTCGAGTCTCGTCAACAGAAACTCCGATCGGAGTCACACATTGTCATATGCAAACACACGAAAACAAATAAGCATAAACACATTTACATGACATATTTATGTTACAGACACGGACAGACCATGTATATGTACATGCACACACGCATACACATTTATTCGAGATCTCAGACACATGCACACAGGCACTCATTTACCTCCCACACAAACACAGTCACATAACACATACATACGAAGTCATACGCATGCGCACATATACACGCACTCACATGAGTACTCCAAAGCAATATATCAAAAGATTGTTTCATGCACGAATGTCATGATCTGTTATGGACACTTTCTTACAAAAAAGTTACTATTCTAATAAAAGCTACAACCGTAGATTTTATTAGAATGGTAACTTTTTTGTAAGAAAGCGTTTAAGATTTAAAGATTACGGTTAAGAATTTCTTGAAGACACTGTCTCCGGTAAATAGTATCTATGTTTTGATCACAATCTGCTCCCAGGCGACTGGCTAAATCTACCCTAGTGCTGATTCCTCTGTTCGGGGTGAGTGGGATCATCTTCGTCTTCATGCCGCCGGACATCGAAGGAGACGCACAAGATGTTCGTCTTTCATTTGACCTTTTCTTTAACTCTTTTCAGGTAAGATTTACCGACATACTGATAACATATCCCTCATTTAATATAACAGAACAAGAAGAGGCTGTATTAAAAGAATGACTAATCTTCGTGGAACATTTGCTTTTGTCAGGTATAGATATTTGTTTTTGTATTGTTAATGTGTTCATTGTTGTCGGATGGATGAAATAGATTATTAAATAGCATGCTCCTCCCTGTGCTTGTGTCATTTCGTTACATTGATTCTATTTGGGGCTGAATGATTTTACAATGTGCAATTACACAGACTTAGAAAAGGTCAACAGATACCCTTTGACTCTTGTAACAGTAAATTACAAGTCAAAGCATATATAGCGAAAATTTCTGCACACCAAAAGACAAATGTATGAAGCCTTCCACGAATGTCAAGAACGGACTCTTCCATCAGCCCCATGTCCGAAACATTTCTAAAAATACGGACATTTTGTGTAATCACCCCTGTCCAATATTGAAATAAATACCCCCACCCACCCCCTTTTAAGAACATACAAAACATTTCGACACAAAATATACTATTGATCTGATCACCCCTGTTCAAAATTAGATTGCAAAATTATTTGGAATATGTAAATTATATGTAGTTACACGGGTGACATGTACCGGAAAAATTGCAGATACAACCACAACACTGCAGCTCATTTTGGTTGAAATACTAGTATTTAGTTTTACTGCCAAATACCACATTTCTGGTCATTTGGTCTTAATATGAGGGAATAGGAGCTCAAAATGTACATTCTTGTTTTGTCTTTTTTCTGGAACCCTATAACCTCCTTGACAAAGCACTTTTCACGGAGAAGTAAGAAGCTATCATAATATTTATGACTGGTATTATGAAATCTCCAGCCAAGGTTGAAATCTCCATCACATTTGTTCCGTTTTCACAGATTACATTACGTTGCTGAATAAGAAACCATTCATTTAATGTATAGACCCTGGCCATGTGCATTTGTTTCTAGATCCACTTATTGCTGTAACTTTCACATTTTGTCTGAATGATTGTCTAGTCATGTCTCGTGTATTTGACGTGTGGATATACATGTATGCCCTCAGTGTTCTTGTTGTCGACACGCCAGCTATGTTGTTATTTAATAGACACGATGGCAAAAGTGTGAGCATAACTTTCTAAGAAGTTTCATAATATTTTGTGTCCATGTTATGTGTCCAAGCATTTGTCTGGCACATACATGGCACTACTATGTCAAGGTGTGAACTTGCCTATTGTTCCCCTCAGGTAGTCTGGTACCTTGCTATCAGAGGCAATTAGAGTAAACAAAATGATTGGATATATCTTATCAAAACAAAGAGATCAGATTTCATTTCTGTAGAAAACAAAATTTCAAATTTTTTTGTTGTTTTTTGTTGTTGTTTAGAGTTAAAACTTTTGATCCAACACAATAAAGTTCTCTCACCTAGAACTTTCGACCAGTCACTTTGGTCTTCCTAAATAGACTGACCCAGTGAGGCTTGTCACGTGGCTTCTTTGAAGTGTGACGTCAACACTGGGTCAAAAAGGTATGTTGTTGCTGTTCGAAAGGTGCAACCATATGCAATGTTCTTGCAATGTTTGGAACATAGACAAGTTGCCCTAAAATATTCAGGTGGGCCTGTGGTTGTGAAACATTTGTCAAGGCGTCCGAGAATATTAATATTAACGTATAAAAGAATGATTAAACCCGTCAGCACGGGCCCCCTGGATGTTATGGAGTCCTCCTTGCTGAATACATATACCTGAGGATTGCCTAGAAGTAATAAGATGCAGTTCTCCCAACAGGTCTTTAGTCGGACATATGTGAGTGAAGCAATGATGTTATGATAAAGTGCTCTAAGGAAGGAGTTTCGTTTATTAAAGTGCGTCGTTTCAATCAGGTTGCAGAAAAAGTCTTATTTTGTTCTCTTTTTTCTGATGCAGGGTTTTTTTGTTGCAGTGCTGTTCTGTTTCCTGAATGGGGAGGTAAGCTTTCC